AGCCTTCTTTGGTTTTTGAGCCGTCTGTATATATGCGTATTGCATTTGTAACATCTGACTCTGGGTTCTGTTTTATTTGTATTTTGTAGGGTTTATTAAACACAAATCTAGGTTCAATTGCATCACTGGTTGCCTGCAGCAAAGGTTGCGCAGTAAGCGCTTCTCGGGATAGGCTCAGCCTCCATTGACCCATTCCTAATTCCTAATTCCTACACCAGCCGTGCGCAATCGTAACATTGCCATTAACGCAACCTCCTTAACGTACAGGTCCAGAGGGGCCAGACCCGTAATTAATTCCATTGCCGCGGTTAGTGTTGTTCTCATGGCTCCTGTGATGTTTGAACAAGCCAGTCACTGTATTTGATGCAATGGCTCCGTACGTTAACATAGGCCTTATTATTGCTGTATAGATCCAGGTGACCACACGGGGTGAAGACCCCATGCGCGTTCCACTGTCCTCCGACATTGTTCATAAGCCACATATGCTCTTTTTGCTCTACTCTGTAGGTGAGAGTTTCATGTTAGCTTTCTGTCGAGGATAGTACCAAGGTATTTCGCCTCTTCAGAGACGTTCAGTTTGCTTTTGAAGATTTCGGGAGGTTTTAAGCCCGATAAACTTCTTTTCCTGGTGAAAAGGACCGTCTCAGTTTTCTTGAGCTTGATCGACAGTAAGTGTTCCTTACACCATGTTTCTATTAATTTGAGCCCATCCTACGCTCTATCGCACAGTGTGTTCACAAATTTGCCGGTGTGCAAGATAACTATGTCATCTGCATATGCAATTGTGTAGAATCCATTATTGTTGAGGTGATTAATCAGAGTATCCAGAACTATGTTTCAGGTGATAAGACTCTTCCCTGTGACTCCCTGGTGATAAGACTCCTCCTCCTACTACCAGGGGTACATTCCTGGAGTAAAGTTGCTGGGTAATTGTTGGAAAGGTTGTTTTATCAAACGCTCCCTCGATATCTATGAATATACACAGGGTGGATTCTTTGTTGTCAAATGATCTCTCAATTCTGCCAACCACATGGTGAAGGGCCGAATCAGTAGACCTTCCCGGAGTATATGCTTGCTTATGTACCGCTCACATAGCCTCTCCATAGTTTTTAAGAAGAACGATGTGAGACTAATTGGTCGTAATGCTTTTGGTAAGGTGTAGTCCATCCTACCTGGTACTACTCGTACTTCTTTCCACTTACTGGGAATATACCTCAGAGCTAGAGAGGCTCTGAATATTCCAACCAGGTGCGGCATAAGAATATCCAGTATCCATTGAAATAGGGCTGGTCTCATACGGTCAGGTCCTGTTGACTTGAAGGGGGAAAAGCCCGATATGGCCCATCTTATCTTGTCCTCATCAATTACTGCACTAGCAGATTGCCAGTCGTATTGTGAGGGTGTTGTTGGTACTTCCGTCCAGTTCGTCTTTCCAGAAAAGACAGAACCTGGGAAGTGAGTTTCGATAATAATATCAGCACTCTCTTGGAGGTTGGCGGCTTTGTCGTCATTTTCCCTGTCAGGATGCCGTTACTCTTATGGTGGTCATTCGAAAGTGCCTTCTGTAGCCTAGAAGCTAGTGGGAAGTCTTCGACTGCCTCACAGTAGGTTCTCCAGGCTTCTCTTTGTTTTTATCTGCGAATTTTTTTTTAACTCTCTGAGGTTGGATTGATATAATCCCTAGTCCTCTTCGAGTTTTGTACGTTTTACCTTGTTGAAGGTAGTTCTAGCTGTCTTCCTGAGGTGTTCCAGTTCAGGGCACCACCATGTATTGGTTGTGCCATCTGTTTGAACCATCCTCATCGGACAGGATTCCTTGTAGGCAATGTCTATTTTGTTTTTGATAGATACCGTGTACCTTTCCAGTTCTTCATTATTGTCAGGAGTCGGGACATTTGTTTTCCGCAGAGCTCCTTTTAAGAGCCGATTAATATCTATTAATATTTGGCTACGGGCGTTGATAAATATCGGCTCCGTGCCTCTGTTCAAGATTGTTAGATCTTTCTTAGTTATATATTCATATAGGGACTTACCTCGAGCGTTGAAATCCTTGCTGCCCCAGCTCAAGTGATGAGAATTTGAGTCGTAACCCAATATAAGCTCCACTCTCTGGTTGAGGCAGCATCCAGTACCTCCATTTCTCTGGTCGTGGTAGGGTGGCTGCATCTGAAGGAAGGTAACTGATGCGAGTATCAACGCCGTATATTTGCTTTTAAACATTCCAGTTTAACCGCAGTGAGGTCTGATGTGATGAATTGTGCCATCGGAAAGGCTCTGTAATTCCTGGGAACGTAAACAGCCATCCTAGGTTGCTGATTGCTTGGTAAGCTCAAAGTTTTACCAGTTAGGCTACTGAAACTAGTAACTTTGGTCTTTATTATCCAGGGCTCCTGGATCAAAGCTATTGCCTCCCCCAATACATCAAAGTGGCGACATAGTGGTGCCGTTGCCGCCTTTATATGTTGGAGGTTGTATTGTATTACGTCCTTGCCCATGAGACAGTTGAAGGATTCAAAGTTACTTTCAGAGGTCCATCCGCTCCACCGCTAGAGGGGAGGCGGCCTCGCTGTTTTTGGATGCCTCCTCTGTCAGGTCATCGACTGTCATCTGTTCAAATGCTTCGACTTTCTTTTCGGGACCCATGGTGGCCTTGGGGTCAATATCCACTTTAGGTGGCTCCACTTTAGGGTCTCCAAAGGTATTCTCTTCTTCTTATCCACACTGACGACCGCAAGTGATGCCTCCTAACACGGCATAATATTCATTGTGGCTTTCTTCAGCCACTCTAGCGTCACGTCGTCGGTGAAATCTGAAGATTTCACCGGAGTATATCCACGACTTGAACGTGGGCGGTTTGCTGTTGCTGCTGGAGGCGGAGAAGATGATCTTGTCCAGCTCCTTCAGCAGTTATTTTTGATGAGACTCTCCCGTTCTGCCTGTTGGAGGTGGAGTGGAAGAGGAAGGGGTGCACTCAAAGTTGCTGCCAGCCCTGCCTCTTCCGCTCTCTTTCTCTCTTTGGCCTCGGCTCCACAAATGCGCTTAATCCTTGTCCTTTGTGTTGCGTCACGAGGTGATATGCTATGTCCAGCCTCATTCTGAGCGGTAGATTGGGGTGGACATTTCTGTTCATCCCTAGCCACCGCCATAGATTGAGGTGAGCATTTCTGTCCTGCCTCGAGATTGGTTGTTTTTTTTATTGAATCCATGTGTGTTCCCGCGAGTAGCACGGAAAGAGTTGGTCACCTCTGGCAGAGTCCCGCATTACCAGAGGAAGGCTGATTACAATGAGGTTTTGCCCGGTTCCCCAAGGGGATCGTTCGTAACCTCATATCACCCTGCGGCCATTCAGCTGTCAGCACGATTCCTCACACCTTAGCTTGGGTAGGCTGGTCCACGATGGCAAGTTCCGCAGTGGCTTAGTTTCCCTCACCCTACTTATTTCTGCCACTGACCAGGAGTCCGGCGATCTCGTCCGAAAGGCCACATTGGCTTCCCGGACATGGCCCCCAGTCCCCTAGCCGTTCTCCTATCCGTTACCTAGGGACGCGCCCGATAGATAGCCCAACCCAAGGGTTTTGTGGGTATAAATAAAGCTATCTATAAAAAGTGAACATTATATAATACCTACTCAGAAAGATATAATTGGCAACTATGAATGGTAACAAAATTTATATGTTATTGATATGAGTTTGGGATTTTGATTTATGTGTGTTCAGTACCTACTCCATTCGAGAAGTACACATTTTCCAGAATGCCTTTTGGTATCAAATCTGCTTCAGAGATATCGAAAAAAAAATTAAGAAATATTTGGGGGAATTCAGGGAGTAATGGATATTTTTGATGACTTAATAAGATCTGGAGAAACCAAAGATAAACATGATCGAATTCTTCATGAGGTTTTTGAAACGGCCAGTCGTCACAATATTACGTACAATAAAGAAAATTTTCAATATTGTGTCAAGTCAGTGAAATTCATAGGGAATATTATTAATGAAAACGGTTTCAAAGTAGATCCGGATAAAGTAAAAGCCATAGCTGAAATGGAATTACCTAAAAATGAAGAAGATTTGAGAAGGATTTTAGGAACTGTAAATTACCTATCAAAACTTATTCCACATTATTCCGAAATCAATGCACCCTTACGTAATTTACTGAAATATGATGTTGAATGGTGTTGGTTACGTATAAACAGTAATACATTTTTAGTGAGCTAATTCTAATTTTTAGTCCAACACCATTACATTTTTAGATCAAATTGGCTAGAGAATTTCCAAAATATTATATAGCGACACTGTGCCTAAGGAAAGTTGGTTTGTCACTTCGCTATGAGTACAAAGATGCATAAAATATCTCTGGTGTCATTGTCTAAGGATTTATTAGACAATGATTATATTTTGCACTTTATTCAATTAAAGTTTAACTTTCCTTCCGATGAAGGCGCCATATTACAGGATACAATTTCAGAATTTCTAGTAAAAAATTATAGATGGCTCTAGCAACCTCCATCCAATACTTTTAAATCCTTAGACAATGCTTTTACCAATGTGGTTGACTGACTATAAATCCTTAGACAATGCTGGTGTCATCACTTGGAACCCTTTCCCATTCAAAATAGTTTGTAAAAAACTCTCGACCTACGGCACTCTTGATGAAGGAATACTATAAGCTTTGTACTTTGTATATAGACTATACAAAGCTATAAGTTTGGGCCTCCAATTACCAGAGGTGCTGAGTACACTTAAAAGTGACACTGCTTGACCGGAGGTTGGCACTTCAATTTTCGATGTTATTAACATTTAGGAATGAATTTATATTAAATGGAAGATATTTTACATCATGGTCCAAAAATAAAAGATTTGAATGAAATTCGAGCGACAGATTTTTTATTTTTGCTCCATCTATCAACATATGTACAAAGTTGTGTCAAACTCATTTCTCACGTCGAGAGATCTTGACAACAAAAGGGAATCAATTTATAAACACCAGGGTCACAGTAGACTGCTATTCTGTGCCAGGGAGCCAGGGGTTCTATGCATCTTGCATCTTTATGACTACTAGAACTAGGACCAATGACTACTGTTCATGACAGGTATGCGAATATGGCTTTTTGCACGAAAAAACTCTAAAAAGTAGATCATTTGGAAAGTGTGTCAATGCAAACTTATGACTCAATGCGGTGTAGTTTGTTTTGATTCTTCAAAAATGGCAGTTCTAATAAAGTATATTTGGATATCCCTAAAACCATCATCGCTCTTGGTGCTTATTTAATGTGAAATGCTAATCAGAGCTCTCTGACATTGTAAATTTGTTTTGAATCGGCAGGTGTAGTGTTTCATATTGGATACCTAAGGTAAAGAAATTAAAAATCGATGTTTATTCCATTGGTTGATTTGAAATATTTTTAGAGTCAAATATGAGGATAACTACTACAAGAATGACAACACCAATTGAGGAAAAAGTGGACCAAAAGCTCAAAGTTAGGACTGGAATGGTCACAGTTAGTGATGGAAAAAGTAGACCAATTCCTGTTCAACTGCACCTCTCAATGGAAGTTTTGCGTTTGCAAAAAGAGGAGCCATTACCTCTTGAATCAAAACCTTTGAATTCAAAGGTAATACGTTATCTCGATATAATTTCTATTTGGGAAAAGAAGTAATCAATCGCATGAGCTATAACATACTTGCTTTAGTTCTCAGTTTGAACAGTGTTTGTATGAATTATGTTGGTATGAACTATTTGAATACTTGAGTACCTCACACTTTTTTCAAAGGAACATTTCATGGGATCTTCATATTTTTGTCTGACGATCACAAATTTGAAGTCAACATGTGGCAATCTGGTGTACTTTTGGAGACACGGCCATACATATGTAAATAAGTTCATTAATTTTCTTCAATAATTTTTAAAATTTTGCCAAAAGAAATAAAAAAAAACTTATGAAAATGTCATTTTACTTTCATAAACGTTTATGATGTTGTTTGTTAGAAAATAGACAATTTTGAGGAAATTAGACATTTTTTATGAAAAAAAAAAAATAGGAGTGGCAAGTGAATAAAGGCATGTAGTAAAAAGAAGGTGTCATTTTACAAGTTTTTATTATCATAAGTGAGTTCCTGAAATTGTTGATTTTTCAACTTTTGGATGGCTGTATTTCCGAAAGTAGGCTGGAGCGTCACATTTTTACTTCAGATTCGTGATAAGCCGACAAAAATATGTATGTTCAATAAAGTTTTTTTAAGCGGGAGAAAAGTATTAGAATAATCACCGAATTGTGTGATTGAGTAGAAAAAAATTCCTTATTCCACTTGTCCAATGATGGGGAGAATCAATGCATCCATGATTACTCAGAAGAAGAAGCAGTGGCGAACGTAGCGTCAACAGTTACAACAACATTAGATCAGTGATATATTCTTTATTCAGAACCCTTAGACTCAATGGGTTGAAAAATATTAGCAAACACCTGTTTCATGAACAGTGTAATCTAATATCTATCAAATAAGGGATGGTTACTGAAATATTTTAAAAAGGATGAATATATGAAAGATATCAATACTAGTAATTCTAGTACGGAGGGTGCTTTGATCAAAGCATTCTCAGAAGTTATCAAAGAACTGTAGTTAGAAGATTCATGTGATAGAGTAGTAAACACAGTCTCCCCAAAAAGTAAGATTCAAAGTTTTGCTCCTCGATTCGTGTTGGGAATCACACGTTGAAAAGTAAGACCTCGTTAATCCTTAGCTCGCACAAGTTTCTCAACTTCTGAGAGTTGTCGTTCATATGGGGGCGAGAGGTGATTAACAAAAAAACAGATTTTACACAAATTTATAAACAGATTTAAACAGATTCATGAGTTATGCCCATTAAGACGTTCAGGAGTTCCTTCGTTATCTTCTAGAAGGTTTATATGAGTATGTTAATAGAATTAATGAGAAACCTAAACCAATCCTTAATGAAAAATGCATTTTTACCCTGGCCAAACCTATTCACATGATATTCAACATTTCTTTGAAATCTTTCATCTCTAAAAAAAACGTTTTTTTTATACCTATTCATAAAAGTGAATCAAATAATGTTATTAAAAATTATCGAGCAGTTTGTAACCAAATTGTTAGGTAATATAATAACTAAAAAGGTGTCTTGGAATTGTAGACAAATAATTATAAATCAGCAACATGGATTCAGTTGTGGTAGATCTAACAGTACAAATATGCTCATTTATCAAAACTTTTTAATAAATGCTTTCAAAAATAGATACCAGGTTGATTCTATTTGCACAGATTTTTCAAAGGCAAGTAAATCACAAATTGTTGTTGCATAAACTAAACGCTTTGAGTATTCAGGAAAATAATCTAAAATGGATTGAAAATTATCTTGCCTGCAGAGTTCAATATGTAAAATTTGGTAACTCAATATCTTCCTCAATAGCAGTTCCTTCTGGTGTACGGCAGGGATCTCATTTAGGACCATTAGGTTTCAACCTAACTTGAATAATGTTATTCTCTATAGTGAATATCTTCTGTTTGCTGATGATCTGAAGATGTTCAAAGTTATTCATGACTCATCTGATACTAAATTATTACAGTACAATTTATCTAACTTTGTACGCTGGTGTGATATAAACTTATTGCAATTAAATAAAATTTGTTTTGGATTTCGGAGTCCTGTTTAGTTCCTGTAAATTCCCCAAATCACCCCATATTGCAAATGTTACTTCTAGAGCACTAAAAATGTTGGTTTTCACTCTTAGATCTGCAGAGAAATTATCTCTCTCTCTTCCTTAAAAATCATAAATTGTTGAATTGTTAGATCAATAATCAACTACAACTCCACAATTTGGTGCCCATCATATAATATGGATATTGATTGGTTTGAAAGTGTTTAAAACAGGTTTCTAAGGTACTCTGCATACAAACTGGGATATTATATTGGTGAATATAACTATGAAATTATTTTGGACATTCTTAACTATCCTCTGGCTCATAGAAGATTATAATCAGATCTTACACCAAGTCACAAAATAATCATTAATTAATTCCCCGGAAGTTATTGAACTTTATAACTTCAAATGTGAATCTGAAATCACTTTCCCAACACAAAAACAAAAATTATGAATCCAAAGAGAACAAGCAATACGAAAATCTTCAACGTACCTTTTTATCATCATACCAACTATGGCCAGAACGAGTCTATAGGTAGAATTTTGAGACTTGCAAACACATACAATATGGATTTAGAACTTTTTAATTCTCTTTTGAAAGCTTTTAAAAAGACTGAAAAAAAAAGATTGTAATTGATTAACTTATTTTTGCCTTTCTTTTTTTAAATTTTTTCCTGATAGATTAATACTATACATATTACAAAACTTGTCTACATAGTACATAGAAAGTAAGTCAAAATTACATGTTCACAAAACCAACTTAAAGTACAGCAAATGAGTCAAAGTCACATAAAAATGTTCATGAGAACCAAAAAAATATATACAGAAAACATTCACCATTATTAAAAGTTCCATCTATACTTTGCAAAAATTCTTCGGGTGTGTCAACTGTAAAGTATTTAGTTTTCATTGGAGGCCTAAATGCATACAACAAACTCTTACTTGTCAACTGGAATCCCTCACAATAAAACTGTGTTTTATTTATTGACTATTAGAACCTTTATCCTTGACTGAATTGTCTTTGGCTTAATGCAAAATTTTATTTATATGTACAAAAAGTGTGATATCTTATAATTGCTGTATGAAATTATAAATTTTTTGTAAATTAGTGTGTGCTGATTAAAGGATTATCATTACTCTATTCGTGTTATAGGAGAGAATGGTTCAGGTGAGACGTCAAAGGGTTGGTGGACTAGGATTGAGTATCAAAGGCGGAGCAGAGCACAAACTTCCGATATTGATTTCTAGAATATATAAAAATCAAGCGGCTGATCAAACAGGCGAGTTATTTGTTGGAGATGCTATAATAAAAGGTGAATATATAATTGAATACCATGATTGATGAACAACGAGCCATTCCCTTCAGGGATTGACAATTAAATATCTTTTTTCAGTAAATGGGGAATATATCACAGCCTGCCCTCACGATGATGCTGTGAATATTCTGCGTAATGCTGGTGACTTGGTAGTGTTAACTGTGAAGCACTATAAAGCGGCTACACCATTCCTACAGAAACAAGGTGAGCAAATTCTTGGTCTCCAAAAATTCTTGTTATATAGCTCTTTCTATAATAATTTTGTAGACGATAAGGATTCACAACAAACAGATAGTAATAGTGATGAAAAAGGTGCATCAGATGAGAGTTTACGGGTGACGACTAATAGTACAAGTAGTAGACCAAGTTCTGTATGTTCAGAACTTGATCCTGAGCAATCCCAGACACATTGGGTGGATATCATAGTGGTGCCTTTGATGATGGCTTATGTTACAAGATACATTTTTGGGACTGACAAGTTGAGACCAAATGCTTTTGAAGTGAGAGGGTTGAATGGAATCAGTACTGGAATTATACATTGTGATGATTCTGCCATACTTTCCCAGTGGTTGAAATTTATCACTGATAATATTATTGGACTCACTAATCTGCAGGTGCGAATAATTTTCACAGTTTGTTGGAGCATACATTATTTGGCAATCTTGAATTTGTTTTAATGGATATAATAATTTCCATATAGTTCATGGAAAAATATTTTTGACATTCCCCTCAAAAAGTTACTCTTCCATTTGCTTTTCTGGAATTGAAAAATTATACAGTGATTTATTATGTGATTTTTAAAAATAAAACTTTTTCAGATGAAATTGTATAACCGAAACTTTAGTGTTTCTGACCGTATAGAATACATGGGTTGGGTAAATGAAGGAGTACTGAATAATAACCATCCCTGGCAGAATTACAAACCAAGGTTTTTTGCTCTAAAAGGCACCGACCTGATGCTTTTCGATTCACCTCCAGTAAGTTATATATTTTCTATAATATGAATACAGTGAATATTTCAAATATTCTCAACAGTTTGTAGTGTTGTAGGTTAAGGTATTTTTTATTAAAAAAACGAATTTTTCTCTAGATATATTAAAATAGTCATACTTGAATGTTCCAACTCCCATTGATCATAACTAAACACCAATCAGCAAATATTTATTGCCTTCTTGTGTATTTTTTACGAATCTGGAATAATACAATAAATTCATTTGAAAAATTGAAATTATTACCTTTAACATGTCATTTTATATAATACTTAGCACCTACATTATGAATTTAATGTTCCCAGTTAGGTTGGCAATAACTGATTTCTGGTAATGTTTATAATGGCAAAAATTTCTACCACTTCACTTCTTGTTCTTCTTACCTAATTATCATCGTTATTGAACGCCCTGTTCATTTATGTATTTTGGAATTATTAAATGTGGTGAAAATTTATGAAGTGTTTATGGTTTTATAGAAAGGCATTTCTACAATTTCAGAAGTGGGTTTTTTGTCAAATTTAGATGTGAACAATTGTGTAACACGAATTTAATGAAGTGATATTTGATATACAGCATCAGGGAATTTTCAAGATGGACAACAAACAAAGAAACCAGGTGCATTCCCTGCGAAGCTCCAAAAACTTTGCAAATACGGCATCATAAGTTTATGTGAGAGGAAATAACCGTGTTAGGAACGATGGAAGATAAAATCATCCCCCGTGAGTAACCAGAATGTGGCCTTGGCAAGTCTAATGGTGACCCTGAATGTGGTAGTCGAGCAAAATGCCATAATAATCCAATTACTGAATAACTATACTGAAAATAAGAGAGATCAAACCGTGTCTGAAGACTGTATCGAGGAGAGATACATACATACTAGAAAATGGATATTTTGAAATAAAATCTCAAAATATTCATCTCTCCCAATTACCTGCACCGCAGGTTCTGGTAAATGCCTGCCGGAAAACAATTACTTCCCCGGCCAATATCACGCTGGATATTGAATTATAATCGACAGACATTTATTGTATATCAACGACTTATTGGAAAAAACCAAGAATCCAATATATTGCTTTGCTGACGACAGCACACTTGTCTCGTCATTGCATTTGGATTCCAGGACAGCAGGAGGTTGCATATTTTAATGAGGTTTTAGAAGTGATTTCGAATTGAGGTGAAAGTGACCAGGTTCAATTCAATGCCACAAAAATCCAGGCATCGGTTTTCTCCGAACCGGATATAATAATGTCAGGTCAGACAATTCCGCTTTCAGCTTTGATAAGTTTGATGGGGTATATAATGGATACCAATAATGCACAATCATGTCACTAGAATTGCAAAGACTAATTCTCAACCAAGAAACTGTACACACCTCAGCAACTTTTGATGCTTCATAAAGCTCAGATTAGACCTTCTTTGGAGTATTGTTCTCATGTATGGAGCACTGCCCCCAAACATATCCTGAAGTTGCTGGATGCCATCCAGAAAAAAGCCGTCCGCTTGATTGGAGACACAAACATCACGTGCAACCTTGATGGCCGGGAACATCGAAGAGAGGTTGGAGATTTGTCTCTCTTCTATAGATACTTTCACGGGAGGTGTTCAAGTGACTTGGCACATTTGATTCCACCAAGAGCGGTACATATCAGAAATACGTGACGGACTGTGGCTGATCATCGTTTTTAGGTTCAACTCAGTACACCTCGAACTTCACTGTTTAAGAACTGTTTCATCTGGACTTAAACTTCCAGAGTACGTTTTTCCAAATGGATTTACTCTCCAGCGATTCAAATCCAATGTGAATCGCTATTTTCGCACAGGCATCGCTCTGAGAGCGCCTTAAAGATTTTCTTATAGTGCTTGTGTTTTAAAATGCAAGATACCTCACAACAGCAAAACCATGCTGAAATGATTCGAGTAGATCACCTACAGACTGGTTTCGAGGTATTACCTCTCATCAGTGCAGGAAAGATCTGAGCCAAACAGCAAATTGTCAGAGACTTGATTAATTTCAACGCGGCTCAACTGCATGTAGGAAACCTTTGTATAAGAGAAAGATTGTTAGATGTAGGATGATTCTCTATAGGTGATCTACTTGAATAATTTCAGCATGATCCTGCTGCAGGCACAGATTAAGTACAGATGCGAAAGCTAGGCCTCCCGCTAGAACCTAGTTTTTATACGCATGTGCGGTTACAGGTTGTTTTAACTTTAACCTCACTTTTCAGTCAGCGTTCCTTTGTCGTTGTTTACAACTTTTATTTCAATAACTATTGGAATATAATAAAATTTGTGAATGAGTGAAATATATTTTACACAGGAGAATGTTTCGCAAAGGAGTAACAGTTTGTGTTGTTCATGGTTGTTTTACAAAAACTGGGGAAAATACAAGTTTGTTTAGAATTCCAGAGGATTCTACAAGGTAGGTAAATGTTGATAATTTTCATTTCACAGCATTATCTCAATGCAGCTTCAAAAAGTTGCGTTGAGATAATGCTGTGAAATCATTTGGAAATGTCCTATGCAAATAAATTGATATTTTGTTCATGTTTTTTTAGGACTGCTTGTTGGCTGCTGTTATGTAACAGAGAGAATTTATTAGGTAAAAGTATCCATGCCTTTCATTGAAACTATAGGGCATGTGAGAAACATTTTGCCAAAGAAGTAATTTCTCAATCTGGAACTCTGTAAACATCTATTCCAAAATGCAGTTCCGTGCATATTTTCTCACAGTGCCATTAAGCACTCCTTGAAAGTTATTGATAATGATAATTGCGAAGGACCTCTTAAGAAAATTGCTGTCTTGGATGGTGAGTACCATTTTGCATGTTCTTAGTTCATATTTTTTGATGGATATCTATGTTGTGTCCCAAGTTTACATATTTATTGTAATATCTTCTGCATTTCTAAATGATAATTTGTTATTTTTAGATGTTAGTAGTAACATCGCCATGCACGCAGAATCCTTAACTTCTCCTCCAGCTACAGATATGTCAGGTATGTTTTTATAAAATATGAGGAAAGAAAACAATATCAATTATTATTCTATGTGGGGTTATTTTGATTTCCTTTAACTCATGTATTTCTTTACACACATGATATAGTCCGGGATCCCTTGCCCTTTTTCGTTATTTATTACTAACAAGCTAATTTTCCCTGAGTAGCTTCATTTTGACGAGACGCCCAATATCGTACACAATTTTCCAAAAACGCAAATTCAATGGTATTAAATTTTCTGAAAAATCAATGAGGTGAAATTGCGAAAAAAAAATTCATATCCGTGGACCATTTTTAAGAGAAGCTAAATTTGTGATTTTTTTATTTCTGTAGTTCTCTCTGAATTACTTCGAAACCGTAAATGATAAAAACTTTTTATGGTTGCATCCGAAAACTAGACACTTGAGACTACAATTTATTGTTTTTTTTTACTGGATGATGATTTCCTTTTTTTAATCCCGCAATTTATGTGTCTAGTGTACATACTTCATTCATCATTTTCTTAAAGACAAAAATGATATCAACAGAGGACGGTATAAGCCATTTGAAAAAGGCTATAAATCAAAAAATGGAAATGAAGAAGTATTAAAATAAATATCGTAGGATATGATCCTTCCAGTTTGCCACCAACAAAACAAGAATTGCTGCAACAAAGAACTGTAAAAAGAACTGTATTCATCTGCAATGTATGGTGTAATGCACACATGCTGTGTCCCACAGAAAAAGTACCTGAAAATTATGGATGGACAATAATTGATGGTGAATATGAATATTATTGGTTTCATAGTCACACCCTGTACAAGCAAGTGGCTGCATTCCAGAACACTTGAACCTCTCACGGTTCATCCCTCTCGAGAGAGCGTTGATCAGTTCAATGTATATTAGTAAGTGTCAGTTCTGTCGTAAAGGGCAATAGTTAAAACATCTGTTTATTCTCTTCCATATTCACGCACTGTAAAAATATTCAAATATCTGCTATCGAAGTAAATAATTGAATGTTGAAGTCGTGTTTTATTAACAAGGTTAACGCAACAAAATTCACAAAACTTAGATGAAATGGCAAAAAAGAAATATTACTTGCTCAAAATGCTTCTGTTATTATGGTGAGAGGACTATATAATAATTGGAAGCAGCAAGTAGCATATTTTTTTGTGAATACACAGTTTTCTGCTGTAGAACTACATTGTGTGATTGATGAGTGTATATCAAAATTGTTTTCAGCTGGTTTTTATGTGGATGCACTTGTAAGTGATATGGGATCAAATTTTATTCAGTTATGGTGTCACATCTAGTAATTGTGAGTTTCAAGTTGGTGACAGGAATATTATATATTTATTTGATACATGTCATTTGATCAAAGCCATGAGAAATAATTTGATGCAAAACGTTTTTTTTTATGAAAAGAAAACATCATGGTCCTTCATAGGCATGTTTTTTCAGCAAGATAAAAAGCAAACCTATAGATGTGCACCTAAACTCACATCTTCACATATTTGTCCTACAAATTTTGAAAAAATGAAAGTCAAACTTGTTACCCAAGTTCTGAGTAGTGCAATGAATACTTATGTGAGTTTGGTGGCTCTTCCTGCAGATGCCATGGCAACAATAGACGTAATTAAAAAATTTGATAAATTATTTGATTTATTGAATTCTTCTGACAATAATCATCCAAATAAATTCAAAAATGTTTTTGATTAGTCTGATTATCAGATGCAATACATGGTAGAAATGAAAGATTGCATTTGAATATTCCTGAAATACCTATTTGATTTTTCATCTTTTGAGTGTCTGCATCTCCAATAGTACACCAAAGCGTGATCAGTGGACAAAAATACTTAGGTCTACTATTGGAAACACCCTTTCAATAACTAGAATAAAATACTGTCTCTCGACGCGCGTCTCGCTAGCGAAGTTAAAATCATCAGGAGGTGAGGAGAAGTAGAGTCTCAAAAGGGTTAGAGAAACTATAATCCCCATTAATTTTACACAATCAAGTTCAAATATTCATATAATCCCATGCCTAAATCCTTGGACATTGAAATTTCTTCATTTTCAGTTGAATGTTGTGGATTGGAGCAAATGCCCACTCATGTTTAAAGTATACCAGACCATGTTTCGAGTGGTCAAGGAATCTGAAAATGTGGATGAACGTCAGCATTGCTTCTTGGTGCAAACATCTGGACAGGATTCTCGTTATTTTTCTGTTGAAACTCGTCAAGAACTGCTAAGAATTGAAAATGCTTGGCACTGTTCTGTTTGTACAGCTGTTATGAAATTAGGGGTAAGTTTTCAGTCATCAAAACCTTTGAGTTGACAAAAATTAGAAATGTTTGTCAAAAAAATGAAACAAATTGAACGATAAATTGTATTTCAATTCAATTCAAAATGTACTTTATTGTCAAAGAAAAACAATTCTTATTGACAAGGCATAAATGAATAAAATATATCAGCCAATTTACAGTAAATTTATTGAAGTAAAAATGGAACAATACAGAGTCTAAAGCTTACATGTAGACAGAACATAATATTCTACATGGCAGTTAAGAATTGATTTACATGTATTAATAAAATAAATCAGTCCATTTAATAACCTAAAAGGTTTAGGTACTCAAAATCTGACTTCAAGATATTCTTCCAAGCTGTAATATGCTTTCGTAAGTAAAAGTTCCTTCACACGTTTTCAGATTGTTTTTGAGTCTATAATAATACTTTTCATTTCAAATGGTAGATGATTGAATATCTTCCGATTCTCAAATATTATGGAATTTTTAGTTACTGTTGAAGTTGGTTTTGGCAGAGGTATATTGGCATTTTGTCGGGTGTTATATATTCTTCCGGAAGGAAAGTTATTTTTTCTTATTTGAATTAGACATACTGTTTCTAGAATGAAGATGCAGATAAATGTTAGTATTCTACTCTGTATGAACAGTGGTCCAAACGTTTGGCTCTACATATATATCTTATCGCCCTTCTTTGTAGAACAAACACTGATTGCATCAGCTGCTTGCTACAAAAACACCAAAAAGTGACACCATACATCAGATGAGACTCAACTAAAGAAAAATGTGATGTGTTTCCTGCTACTATTCCCAACTTCTTGGTGATGACCCTGACAGCATAGCAGTCAGATGCAAGTTTTTTGTTGAAAAATTTTACGTGTTCATCAAACTTCAGGGTATTATCAATTCATAATCCCGAGAATTTGGTGCAGTCTTATTTTCGATGACACGATTCTGGAAGCTTAGGTTTCCAGAAACAAATTTAAACGAAAATATGTTAGTTTTATTCACATTGAAACATATAGAATTGGAATCACACTAAGATTTGACTTTCTCTAAATCAACCTCAGTTATATTTTTCTGAGTCTGTATCATTTCCATGCTATAATAGTAAGGTCGTATCGTCTGCAAACATTGTAAACTTTCCTTCTATGTCGATATTAAATAAGTCATTCACATAGATAAGGAACAAAATAAGGCCGAGCGCTGATCCTTGGGGGACTCCACAGATTATTTTCGAGAGACTAGAATTTTGGTTCTGTAACTTTACCATTTAAATTCTGTTCGAAAGATAAGATCGGAAACAACAGCACTCCGTGATCGATGCAATCAAAAGCCTTAGAAAAGTCACAGAATACTGCCGCAGTCACTTCACCTCTATCGAGCTCCACATATAACTCTTCCAGGAAGATAAAGGTAGCATCATTTGTACTTTTAGATCTTTGAAAAGCAAACTGTGAGCTATTCAGTATATTGTACTTTTCCAAAAATGATAGCAACCTTTGACAAAGTAAATATTAGTGAAATAGGACGAAATAGGATGAAAATTGGATGGCTCATTTAGTTCACCCCCCTTGTGAATTGGAATCACTATAGCAGTTTTCAGCACATCCCGAGATACACCAATTGAAAATGATACATTTATTGATTCTGCCAGGCAAAAAGGGTATGATCTGGCAGTTTTCCAATAAATTTGCTGATATTTCATCGATTCTGTGTGTTTTTTTATTTCTCTAAATGTTTCCTTAAGTTCTTCAATATTTGTATGTTCTAAAATGAATTCTTCTGAAAGTCTTATGATACTCAGGTAGTTTAAAGGATTTTCTGTATGGTTATGTTGAGTTTAATTTTTTTTGCTATTGTACAATAATACACATTGAGGCTATCTGTTTTTATATCAATTTGCACTGGAAGCTTGTTTGTTTTGCCTCTCAGATTATTGAAAATAGCCCAGTTCTCTTTAGGTTTATTGGACGCCTGGGAAAGTATCTCATTTTAATATTTTTCTTTTGCACATCTAATAATTCTTCTACAGATTTTTCAGTATTCATTGAAATGGCTATGGAAGAAATCACTTGTAGTATATTTAGTAATCATGTCTAGGGCCCTCATATACTTGAAGAGGTTCTGATTCCTTTGGTTATCCAAGACTTTTTTACTTTTAATTTTTTGCATATGAAAACACTATGAAGATATCAGGTAAAATATCTTGAAATGCACTCAAGGTTTTTTCTTTTTAAGTACAAAACAAGCACTACAGGGAAATCTTGAGGCCCTCTCAGAGTGGTGCCTGTGCGAAATTAGTGATTCACATTGGATGTGAATCCCTGGAGATTAAATCCATTTGGAAAAACGTTCTCAGAAAGTTTATTACAGTTCTCCAGATAAAAGAGTCCCCAAACAGTGAAGTTCGAGGTATACTGAGTTGAACCTCAAAACAATGAGCAGCCACAGTCCGTCGCGTATTTCTGATATGTACCGCTCTTGGTGGAATCAAATGTGCCAAGTCACTTGAACACCTCCGGTGAAAGTATCTACATATAGAACAGAGACAAATTTCGAACCTTTCTTCGATGTTCCAAGCTATCAAGGTTGCACGTGATGTTAACCCCCAACAAACTTATCGAAGTAGAAAGCGGAATTGTCTGACCTGACATTATTATATCCGGTTCGGAGACATTTATCTTCTTGGAGAAAACCGATGCCTGGGTTTTTGTGGTGTTAAATGGAACCTGGTTACTTTCACCCCAATTCCTCGTAGCAACAGCAGTTACCATGCTCTTTCCCTGTGGACTGATGTTAGGAAGACCTTGCTGACGGTCAGAAATAGTGGTTTTTAAATAACTTCTGTAGCATGATGCCCTTCAACAGACTTCAAAACATCTAACCAGTTAACTTCATTGGCATTAAAATGAAACTTGGAGAAGTTGTTCTTTGTATAAAGCCTGCCATACCTCTGCCTCTCACCATTCCCTTTTTTTTATATCCTAGTGAGAAATGTGTGACAACAGCTTCATGATCCAAGAGTGACACATGGATAACAAGAGTTTGAGTACCCTCTTCATTAAAATTAAGACAAACATAATATAAAGTAGTAGCAGAGGATTTTGATATTCGAATCGGTTGTCTTACTTGCATTGTCAGATTGAAAGAATTCGATAAGAGTTTCAGAAATTGAGTGGTTATATCTTCCTCTGAAAAGTTTATATTAAAGTCACCCGCTACTAGTATTTTAGAATTTACAGATAAATTTGTGAGAGTAGTCTCCAGATTTCTGAGGAAAATATTAACGTTAGAATTTGGAGATCTGAATTAGCAAAGGATGTTGAAATTACATTCTTTATTGTGTACTAAAGAAAATTCAAATTCTTGCTCTATAAGAGGAGTATCATATTTCGAAACATTTTCTATAACAAATGTATCTGTAAAATTTTTATTAATTAGGATCCTAGTACCCCCATGATTTGATTTGCTTCTGCAGAATTCTGCAGCAGTTTTCATGATATTTGAGCTAATGCTCTGTCGATAAAATAAAATTGGGATATTTTACACTTTCCGCCAATAACAATAATTCATCAGTCTTATTTCTAAGTGATTGGATACTCAATAAAATCATAGATAACTTGTTTTCATCATGGGTCAGTTCGATATGCTTTGTGTTAAGTCACTCTCCAAAAAAAGACCGCTCTTCTTCAGAACATATCTTTTTTGGACAGCCAGTTTCTCCGCCGTTGGCAAAGCAATTTGCTTGTTGGTCAACGTCAATATTAGTGATGGTTTTAAGGACGATATGTCTTTTGGGTTTTGACATAAAGTTATTCACCATTTCCAGTATACTGAATTTACTACATATAAATAAAATTAACTAGTGGTAATTAGACAAAAGTGTTTTTATTCATTTCAATAAAGTTATCCTTTATTCCCGCTTGATGTTCACTTTGAGGTTCTATAGGTTTTAACTTCAGCTGCTTGAGTTCGTCCATATACATGTTATTTTTTTCTGTTAATGTTTTGATTGATGTTAACATGTTGTTATTAAGGCTTTTATATTCATCCAGTTCATTGAAAAATCTGTTTAGTTCTAAAGATATTTTGTCGTTATCTATTTGTAGTTATTGATTTTTTCGCAATATATTCAGATTCTGTTCTTTAAGTTCTAAAATAGTTATTTTTTGTTTATTGATGTCTTTAATATACCCTTGTTCCGTACCATAAATTACATTCTGTAACTCTAAAGAGGATCTTCTCAGTCTTTGTGCATACTTATCTTTTTCAACTATTTCCTCCGGTAATTTTACAATTTTTTCCATCATATTTCTTGTAATTTCTTCTTGTTTCTTTTCATTTTCATTTATTTCATTGTCTTTGCGCGTTAGTTGAGCTTTGAGTTTCATAATAGTCAATTTCAGTTTGAAGAAAAAAGAATTGAAACTTTCTATGTTTTTTACCACTTTTATTTGTAACTAACATAACTGCAGTTTCGTCCTATAAGGACATTTTCAAACTTATACATTAAAAGTTTCAATTCTTTTTTCTTCATTATGATTTCCTACCACGTAGTAACAGCTACATGAATCAATTTATCAATTCCAGTTTCTCATGATTTTCTTCATTCTCAGCTTTCTTGTTTGAACAGCCTTTCGAGCACAGAATCTTATGTCCTATTTCAATTACATTAATGAAAAGTGCTGCATCAACCTATTCAAAATCAATGCAAATGAAACAAAATGTAAGCTCATTGTAAAACAAAATGAGATTGAAAGTATTTCAAATGAGAATTTGGAAATCAAATTGTGGAAACATAATAGAATAGATGAAATAACTCAAATATTTAGGTAGTATAGTTGACTATGGAATAATCTTAAAGTGTGCGCAAACAACATTTCAAAGACTATGTCTTTCAAAGTGAATTTTTCATTCAGATGTTCAAGATATTCTGATACATGGACAAAAATGGTAATTTACAATAATATCATACTGCTCAATGCATGTTATTTTGTCATTTAATAGACACCTTCCCAAACAATCTATATTGGATAGTTAAGAATGGTTAGCAGTTGAAGGTTATTACAGCAGGCATTGATTTTAATTTTTTAAATCAGGATGGACACCTGAATACTTTTTTTGATGCAGGATATTTGGGGCTGCTACAGAAATATTTTCTCTAATTTCAGGAAAATTTAGTCATGACCATGACAGTAATCTCCATCAAAAATGATTTTTTATGTGGATTTCCCAATAATTTGGGAAAAAAAGGTTTTGACTGTCTATTTCTTCATCGATATGCAAAAGAAATAAAGCAATTATTTTCAAAATAAACTCTTTACAAAGATGTATGGATCATGTATAAAAGTTATTTTTAGATACAAACTGTAAGAAAAATCCCTCTCGAAACAACTACGCTTATGAACATTGAATTATGCAAAAATCACTTTCGACTATTTAGTTTGTAATGGAAACATTCGTTAATGAACCAAATAAGATATCATTTGTAGGAACGCTACACTTAAGAGTTGCGATATGAAATTTCACTTACATGGAAACACTATTATCCTCGATTGCGAACTTAGAAGTTTCGGAATAAGACCTTCATCTCATTGCATAAAGATGAAGAAATAGCCAAAACCTTTCTTTCACAAAAAATATACCCCTTTCAGTCTTAAGCAATTATTCATTTAATAAAATTTCAAAGNAACAATAAAAAAAGAAATGAAAACTAAAAGATTTCAAGTTACTTCACAAGAGCACAAGAAACACATGCAGCGAGGAGAAACCAGCAAATCGGGATTAGCGGAGCATGTTTGGACTCATTAACATAACATCAAGTGGTCCCAAGCTGAGATCTTTCACAGGGAGAAACACTGGTTTAAGAGGAAATTCGAAGAAACCGCATATATCTTGTGCAACAACGCATTCTGCCAACCTAGCATAGAAATACGCAACATATGGAAACCCATAATCAAGCAGAAAACGGCCAACTCCCGCCAAACGTCAGCTCCCGGTGAAGCGGTGAGGGGGAAGAGGGGATAGATGAAATCACTCGAATGACCTATAAATAGTTATCTCTCGGGGGAGTCAGTCCAGTCATCACCCGAAGATGATTGTGGATACTAACAATAAAACTCCTATTGGCAAATTCCCCCCAGGAAGACCTTAAAGACCATTCTTGCTTACAGGGATAGACTGTGCTGGACCTTTCAATTTAAAGGAACATGTAACCAAAAACTATAAACTGATGAAATTCTATATTTGTCTTTATTTGTATGTTAATGAAGAAATTAGTAGGTGACCTACTACTGGTTCTTTTTTGGTACCATTGAGGAGATTAATTTCAAAAGGCACGATAACCTGTTATAATTTTTTCTCGTAATGTTACAAATTTGGCAGGTGCCAATAACGTGTTAGCTTTTTTTCAAGGTGTACCTAATGAAATCAGCATCAAACTCAGTGAACGGAAGTGAAAATTAAAACTATATCACAGACAATAAATTGATGGATGTAGCCGTTACTATGTGGTAGGAAATCATAATGAAAAGAGAAATGAAAATTCCTATGAACTAGACTAGGAAAAAATGATTCGACGTTTTCAAACCATTCCTTGGCATGCAACCACAAGTTTCCGAATCTAAACGATACGGAAATTCTGCACTATGAAAGAAAGGGTTGCAAACTCAATTATTTAGAATCCTTGGAAATTCACAAGCATAAACATTGCGGGTGCAATCTGTTAAATAATCAAATCGATTTAATATACTCTCCAGTATTTGAATTGAATTTATTTATTGATTTAGAATTCCCTAATATACAGGTTAGCTAACTTAAAATATAATATAATCAACAAAATTCATATGAATAATACAATTTTATATACTTACATAGTTTTAACTGAACAAAAAGAATAGCGGCCGTTTATTTGTTTGGCCAGTCAGTCTGCATTGGTGAATGTCAAAAGTGAAAAATGGGGTGCCCCAAAGCTCAAAACCTTTTTCATCAATTATTTAGAATCCTTGGAAATTCACAAGCATAAACAATGCTGGTGCAACCTGTTAAATGATCAAATCGATTTAATTCACTCTCCGATTTTTAAATTGGCACATCCGCATTGTGAACTGTAAATTCAGGTACTCAGTCAAGTCAAGTACCTCTATTTCTATTAGTACCTACAGGGGTGGTATATAATGGCGAATGTAATGAATCATTGTTAGTTTGTTGTATAAAATTGAAAATGTCCGTATAGGACGAAACTGCAGTAACGTTAGTTACAAATAAAAGTGGTAAAAAACATAGAAATTTTCATTTCTCTTTTCATTATATCACAGATCATTGTACAATCTGGCAACAGTGCCAACGCTTGATTTTCAACACAAGTGTAGTGAGAACACACAGAAACAAGACTTGATAATCATAACAAATGTATATTCTATAAATAAAAATCCAGACGTTCAACAATTTAATCTTCACATGAACAAGCCTTCCAGTTAACTATTTTAGAATTCGTAATCGATAATAGATTGAGCTGGTCTGATCATATCAAAGCTGTGACTAGCAAATTTTCCACCGTCTTGTTTGTGCTGAGACAATTAAATAATGTGGTCAGCTTGATGACACTCAAAAGAGCCTACTATGGATTATTTCATTCAGTTATGTCATATGGTATTCTGATTTGGGGTAATTCAGGTAACTCCATTAGTGTTTTAGGTGCCAGAAAAAGGCTATAAGAATAATAGCCAATGCAGATTACAAAGATATATTCATGAAAACGTTAATAAATTTGATAGATATTGTGATGTTCGTGCGTATGGAACGAGATCCGCAAGTTTATTGAACCTGCCCCGATATAAATTAACAATTAGTAAGAGAAATTTACTAAATTAAAATTTGTATAATCATCTTCACTTATCCCTGAAGGCATTGAGCCTCGCAAAATTCCAAAGTACTATTAAAAAGTTTCTTCTCCAACACTGTAGATGATTTTATCCTCGTAAGTACAAACAAGGACTTCTACATTCGTGACTTGCCATAAATGTACTATAGTACATTTATGGTCAAATAAAGTACTCTACTCTACTCTACTTTCAACAGCGAAACCGACCTTTTTGTTATATAAAGTTTGCGAAAAATAATAGATGAAAGCACATTTACTGGCTCGAAAAGGAAATTTTTCCAAAATATTGATCAGTATTGCTGTTGACAAATACTGATGCTGTCAAAGATGCGTCTTGATGTCATTCCAAGAAAGATAGAGTTAATCGAAACATGGCAGTTATCTGCTTGATCGTGTTGAAAGCATAATATTTATGTCAGCCCCTAAGGCTGGTGGATTAGAAACTATCTCATTTGGAACACTTGAACTTCTTTGAATGAAGTATTTTATAACTCGAGTATTTGAGTATGATAATGATGGAAATAAAGGAAGGGGAAATTATAGTATGTGCGCTATTGTCGGAAAGATTTTGATGACCCCTGTAATCTCCACTTGTTTGTTTTTCGATAACACAAATTGTTGGAGGTAAACGAAGGTGGAAATAGACATAGAAGAAAATTGAAATTTTTGGAAAGTGTAGCTCCAAATTTTATAATCTACAGCAGTCTGTACACCCTGTCAAAAAGAAAAGAAAAGACGCAACTACTTTTTTTACTCTCGGACTCGTTTTATCAATTGCTGGTTGCTCAATAGGTATTGCTCAAAAATAACAATGATTGAGTTTGAAAAAATGGATATTTATTCATTGTATTGGTTAGTTTTATTTGATTTACATATTAATTTGAATAATTTCAGTAGAGCTAGTGTCTAGTTACTTTCTAAATCATAATATCAAATCAAACCTGTGAATTTCTGTGGAAGCATGAAAATGATGCGTAAATAGGCCCTGAGAGTCACATGTGATTCAAAAAATAATGTTAATTTCATTGCTGTCAGTTTTATTGCTGTTGGGAAGAAGTGTTTTTCATTTTGATATCTGTCTATATTTCATAAAAACCATTCACGTCAGATCCCTATTGAATCTTTTCGAAATAATTGTTAGAAAGCAATCAGTAATTGCCGATGCCTTTTTTTTTTAAATTCATATTTTAAGCAACATTTCAACTTCTGTTTTTTCATAGAACAAAACTTTCACTGTAAGCAGTAATGGAAAAACTGCTGGACTGACTTTAGACTGGAACTTAGGATTTTCTTTACATGAAGGTGATTCCAAAACGCCCCTTTGGCAATATAAATTTTCTCAACTTCGAGGATCATCAGATGACGGAAAATCCAAGTTGAAATTGCATTTTCAAGATATTGATTCCAAAGCCATTGAGACAAAGGTAAGATCTATATATACTGTGTAAGATATATTATTGTAATTTATTAATTTTTTTTCCTCAGGAACTGGAATGTTCTATATTGCAAAGCTTGTTATTTTGTATGCATGCTTTTTTGACTGCTAAAGTTGCCTCTGTCGACCCTGGTTTTTTGTGTTCGATGATACCATAAACTCAAATGGATTAATAGTCTGATACCATAAGTAATCTCTTCTTATAGCTATAGGTGATATAAGATTTGATGAAATCTAATGTAGACTTCTATGACTTATAATGAAAACAGTTCTTCTGTTATAGGTCAACTACAATAGAAATGTGACTAATTGGAGATATTGGCACTTTTGAAGTAAAAATATGTCCATATTTTCGTTTCAAGTTGTTGCTTGATTATCGTCATAAAAACGTATTAAACAACACATTGTGAGACTTTCATAGAACGATATTCAAAACTCCTAACACATATTTCTTCATACAATATCTTCTTCAGGCATGTCCAATATTGAACATGTCTGAAAAAACTTTTGTATATGTTCGCACAAATCATCGTTCTCAACCTAATTGAATTTGTAATAGCGGCCGTTTATTTGTTTGGCCAGTCAGTCTGCATTGGTGAATGTCAAAAGTGAAAAATGGGGTGCCCCAAAGCTCAAAACCTTTTTCATCAGTACCCACATTACCCACAAATCTTATAGGAATTTAAATACTGAGATAAGAGAAAGATGCTCTCATAGTAAACCTACGAATTCATGTTGATTATGAGTTAATTTCAGACATAACAAATCAGTTCTGTTCAAGTTCAAATACCTGGAAGGTCTCAGTTATGCAGACTATATTCTCAAGTATAATAACCACATTGATATAATCATCAGAGCGTTTTGCAACTTCAGGTTGATTTATCCTAATCAACACAAATTGAATGAAAAGTAAAGTTATGCTCATAAACTACACCTCACGATTTGATCCCCACAAACTTTATTTGAAAAATATATCACATGTTTCGCTAACACAGTAGCTTCTTCAACGGTGATTTGAATACTAAAAGTTGCTTCTTACGCTAATATTTATATACCACAGGTTACTATAATTGGGACTACCTCCATCAAATTACCTAAACCTCTACAATTCTTATATTCTTATATACCTGAGGTACCTCTTCAATTATGATTACCTGAAGCATATTACCTCA